TCATAACACCCTTATTTGTATTTACAGTAATACTGCAAATGTAATAACCTAAATCTTTTTCAGATATTTTAAGAATAACAAGTGTTGCTTTCCGTTCCTCTTCACATAACATTAGTTTATTTTTTTGTACGGCCATCAAGGAACCATTTTACAATCGGTTTATCTGGATTGGTTCTAGACCAAACGCAGAAGAAAGTAGCGTGGCTGTTTTCAGTACTCCAATTTGTTGATATAGTAGGAGGATCCATATCTTTAACAGAGAACAATTTTAAAAAAATCATAAATATACAAGTCATTGTTTATTTTTTAAGAATCAGAATAGGCCTAAGCCTAAAGTCCTTATCGTCCTTAATTTTGAGACAATAAATATATAGTGAAAAGAAATACTGTATGATGATGCAACCAATAACCTATAAATTTATAAAATGAAATTGATACCTAAGATATGGATAGGCCTACATTCTTCTCAACAACCCTTTTTCGGTAAAGAATAAAGTTATCTTGATTGTCTAAGTAGGATGTGCATAATAATCTACTCACAATATACAACTAAATAATAAGTCGATACCCATGATGTAAATACATCTTTCCCAACAACCTGACAGGTGTAATATCCTGAATATGTTCTGTTCACATGTTCTATAATCAAATCTCCGTAGCTTTGCTCAGTGACGTCAATACAAAATGGATCTTTATTGGGATTTACCAGAGTAACGATGGTATTGTTAGCGTTCGTACCATAACCATAAAACCAGTTCAGTGACTCTACACTTGTTACTTTAAGCACGTATGGGGGTGCTGAGAGTTTTATTCGATTTCCTTCAATCCCCCACAACTTGCTTTCATCGCCATATGCTAAAGGAAAAATATTGCATAATATATTATTTGAAACCCTTTGTGAAAATGCATCTATCTGCAAATAGATAGATGGATACTACAGTCTAAAGGCCAACTCAGACTGCGTCGTACGACGCAGCCCGACGCGATTTGTTGTCGCGTCGGGTCTGTGCGAGTTAAACGTAGACGCGATGGTGTGCGTCGGATGCAGTCGCGTCGTAGAATATTAAATATGTTTAATATTTCTCACGACGGCTTAAGACTGTCCCCGACGATAAATCGGGTCGGGCTGCGTCGGCCGACGTTGTATGAGTTGGCCTTAAATGTTAATGTTTTATTCTCTGCTTCAGATATTAATAGCAAATAAAAACGAAATCAATTAATGTTTATATTGTATATGACCAGACTCTCCTCTTTGAAGCTCACAGAATTTCCTCTAATCAACCCGAATTTTTTAAAAGGCTAATTCCATAAAATCACCTAATAACAAAAAAGCACAGTACCTCGTAAACACAAAAGTCACTTACCTTTAGATGTAATAGCGGATAATATAATATAAAACACAAATATGCTCATATCAGTAAACAAGATAAAGTTGCTATAATTTTGAAGTTGAAATCAAAGCATACGTTTATATAAAAAAATTATGGAACATACAGTGATAAGTTATATCATACGCATCAAGCCATATTAATCTACTAATATATAATTGTGTTTCTCTATGTTCTTGAATTCTCTTCCAATACTTTATTATTAGTTTTGCTTTCATTGCTTAATCTACAACAAAACAAACCTATAATGTACCGTACGGAAGCGTATTGCTACCAACTATAAAAATCAAAATTCGGACATTATCTTGTAATTACGAGATATCTCGTAATAACGAGATAATATCTAGTAATTACGAGATATTATCTCGTTATTATGAGATGGTTATCTAGTTATTACGAGATATTATCTCGCACATACGAGATAATGTCCGAATTTTAGTTTTTTTTTGTTGGCAGCAATACGCTTGCGTAAATATGCTTCCGTACCATCCCACGATAACTTTTAAAATCAAAATTATTTTTTAACTATTCGCTGAATAAAAGAATGTTTTTATTTTATTATTCGTAGATCTCTAAACCATTATGCTTAATTGTGGTGGTTTTATGGATATTCCCCGTTTTATGAACCGCCTTTTTTACTTTTATTTTTAAGAATAAGGCTTATACCTTAGTGTAATACTGTACAATTATCTAAAAAAGTGTGTATTGTATTTTTTAATTGTTAATTTGATGCAATTTAGCGTAATAAAGTGAGAACTGAACCCGAGTCGGGCCTTGGTTATAATAACTTGTTTATAAATTTCAGAATGCATTGGGACAATGGTCTTTAATTTTTACAATTACTGCCTGTCCCCAGCTTTTGAAGTGGTTATTTTTTCTGTTGTTGAAGAACAGGAGTGGTCAATAATAGCCTAAATGTTGACAAAAAGATGACAAGTTCAATACTGTAATTACAGACGATTTGCGATTAGCTACTGCATAAACTTTCACGTTCTGTTAAGGTATTCATCTGCATTTATTCACGATTTTTAGGTCTGTAAATCCGAGAAAACAATCGTTACTGATCATTATTATAAATTAGCTAGGTCTATTTTAATAAAATTTTGGACTGATTTAAGAAAATACTGTAATAACTTCAAAGAAAATATTTTCTCAGCAAATCAGAATTCACTTATAGCAATAATACCGTAGACATTTTTATATACAGGTAGTACAAAATCGGTCTGTAATCAATTGAATCCTAAATTGTTTAGAAATGTGTGAAGTGGCATATCTAGGATAGTGTGCACGCCCTTCCCCTCCCTGCATTGAAAATGTTTGAGGCAAAAAATCAAGCTCAAGTACCGGTAGTTAAACTTCAACTCAAATCACATTATTATGCGAGCAAGCTTCCCCTCACTTAATCATCTATACCCCACTTCACCTTCTCCCCCCCCCCCTTACCAACATCAGCCCCAACATGTCATAACGCACCTGTCATTTTTGTAATATGTTTGTTCATAGGTTAATGAATAAAGTAAGTTTTATGCAGCGGAATGATGAATTTCTTGTATATACAGTATAGGAGTGATAATGAAGAGGCGACATATGCATTATTATTATCTTAAAAATTAAAAAAATCAATAATAGACGACATAAATACTGTACTCTACAATTTTCCTTCAAAATATAATTGCATAGTTACATCTTAGATTTACATTTAAAATCACCCGTATTTCATCAATCACAAATGACACCATTATCAAGAGGTTGTGGTTAATATGAGCAAACAGACTTCATAAAGCGTTTGACAATCTAATTATTTGCAAACCATGGGTTTCAAAGACATGCCAATTTTTCTTGTTCTTGAATCCCTTTGCTGAATGGAACATGAACATACTTTACAAGTATATAATGCACATCATAGGCATATTCGGAGATTCCTTAATAGATCATCAACAAGAACTTTTCAACTGTTTAAATAAATGCATTTGGTGTTAACTAATATAAATTTGGTATAAACTAAAATTTCAACATATATCAAGTATGAAAGTGTAGAAAACAAGCTACCAGATTGTGAGTCAAGCATTGTTAAAAACACTGCAAAAATTTAAGATTACTACCACTTATTTATGTGTATGGTATTTTCTAAAAGACCATCATAACTTATAAAAAACAATAACTTAACACATTTTTGTTGGCAAAATTTGCATTACAGGAAGTCCTATAAACAATTAAGTAGATAGCGAAATGTATGGATAGTCATGTCATTGGAATATAAATATGATGGGCAACCTCCTACAAGCATCCGTTTACATAGTGAGACTCTACTGGTGACAGTGGTATGATCGTGTGACAAGTCACATTAAGAAATTTGGAGTGAATGACAGATCCAAGTTATCATTTAGTATAGAAAAATAAAAGTACCTACGATTTCTCTAAACGCTACTATGATGTATGTACAGTACTGTACATTTCCACCCTATTTTTGTATTTACTGTAATAAAATCTTTGTCATCCCAATTTATCATTTTAACATCACATTAACTTAACATTTATGAAAAGTAACAAAACTAAAGCAAACGAACAAGAAAAGCAGTGGAATCATTTACATATTATGTTGATGCTACTGATAAACTTCTCAAATTCAATAATTTACATTTTGAATTTTCAACAACTATTTTATTAACCATGCAATCCAATTATACTAGATAAATAATTAGTTTTTGATAATGCCGTTAGTGAGTGAGTACTTCGGACACATGTTGCTATCTTACAGTTTTACAATTAAAAATTTTTATGAGAAAAAAATCCCTGTCAATTAACAGACAGTGAACGTATTTGCTGTATGCTTTTACATGATTCATTGGCTTGTAACTTAAATATTTTTTTCTGTTAATAAAGTCTGTTTTACTTTCATCTGATTTCGATCGTTTTAAATAAGCTATTCAATTTTTTAAATGGGTAAACAGCTTTTAATATAAATAGTACGACATATTATAGAATATCGTCAGATTTGGTATAGTCAATGTTTATTGCAATATAAATATATGCCTATTACTTTATTTATATTGAATATGAACGAAATGTTTGTGAGAAATCAACATTACAACAATACTGTACATAGAAATTTCTTCTAAAACAATTCCCTGGTATACTGTATGTATGTCATACTGTACTTTAATTACTGCATTATTTAAATAACCGACCAGATTCAACGCTGATTTTATAAAACTGTCAAAGACCATGCTGTACGTAAACGGTGTCTATTCATAGGGATAATATAATTACAATACTAAACATTAGTCCATTAATTTTCACTGTGTCGAGTACACTGTGTCGACCAACTTCCAAGAGATTTTGGCCTACCTTACTACAGTATACACAGTAGCTTTCACATCACAGGCAATTTCATATCCCACGAACACTGCTTTCGCGACTCCGTTTCAGGTTCATTTTTTTCATTGGCGCTCACTTTTTTAACAGTGGCACACACTTTACTTGGTGCGCCCAAAATTAAATAACAATAAAAGTGAACAAAAAATAAAATAGGTAACGAAAAGGTAAACATAAACATCAGGGATTGCTTTATACTGTTTATTTTTAGCCATTCCGACCCTCTTAACGTTATAGATTTAGTGTCAGTGGTAATAACAATAAGTACATATACAAATTTTATTCTCACCTATTGCACTATTTAGGATATTTCGGCTCCATTCCCCGGAGCCCTGTTCACCTCTCTGGCTTCGTATCGTAACAAGGGAGTGTGTTTTCATTGGCCAATGTCCTCGTCTACCTGCTGATTCACGCATGGCCAATTAAAAAAAAGTTCGACTCACTCAGCAGCTTGTCGATGACGTAACCACATTACTCTCCCATATTTAATTGTTGGTTGAAAACCATAATAACGTAACTGAATGTCATGGAACGTCACTGAATGTCATGGGTAAAGTTATGATGAAAAATAATTAAATAAACTAAATATACCAACAAACTTAAAGCTCCGACTCCCGTCTCGCTTTTGTTAACGTTCTATTCCCCCACTCGTCTTTCTGATTTACTGTAATTCCGGTTACCCTATTCTTATCCTCTCTGCTTCATTTACCTGGCTGCATTGCATCCCCGCTATGTTTACTAATCACTTCAATTTTAATGTCTTTCAATTCTCCCTGGTGTTTTTTCATCATTATTCATATGTTGGTAAAAAGGTGAGCTCTTAACTTTTTTTCTTATGTTTCACTATATGTTCGTTATATCTTTCTCCCAGGCTTCTTGCCGTCTCTCCTATATTATGTAGCCCCTCGTCGCTGCTTCCTTTACATCCACTGCATTGTATTTTATACACCACTTCTCTTTGTTTACAATTAGCCTTGCCTCCTTCTTTACATATGGAGCATTTGTCTCCCACACATCTAATTTTTCCGAATGGATTGGACTTTACTAATATGCTCTTGACTTTCGCCTGACCTCTCAACCACTTTGATGTATAATCCACTTGACTTTATTGTCCTAGAGATATCCTTTGCCATTTGTCCATCTGGGGTTGCGTCTATGAACATTACTGTTCCATGTCCCCCTTTTGTGTAAAGCAATGTCAATAATGACCCTGAAATGCTTAATGAACTATGTAACAACATGAATGTATTGTCAAACATCAGGGAATTAAAAAAAAAATTACTAAAGAAAAGAATAACATCAAATTATACAAAATTCAAGTCTCAATTATGATAAATATAAAGTAGAAGGAGTACAATGTTTAAACATATTGTATTGCAGCCAAAAAACAAGTTAGAAATTAACTAGAATAAAACAGTGTTATAGTACCGGTATCGAAATAAAGTTAAATTCCAAACAATGAGAATACAGTATTATTACAGTACCTTTAATAAAAATTAGCAATAAAATCATAATCAAGATTCAGAAAAAAAAAACCCAATAAATGTGTACTGTATACGTACGTACTCGCGAGGGCAAGTCTGCATGCATATTCATGTATATCAGTTGACCGAACTGACCTAGAATAGCGCCCTCTGTAATTTCTGCCTTAAGTGTATGGGTAGAAAATAATGCGCGCGCCGCCTAGCGCTCACAGGGAGCGGAGTTGAATTCGTGGTACGACGCAGTGAGTGCCCGG